GGGTTTGCTATTTGTATCCCCATTTCTGCTAGTTCATTCCTCTTTCTTCCTTCTAACTTTTGTCATGGTTGGTCCAGGTGAGCCGCCTGCTGTGCGGACTCATTCTCCCAATCCTTTCGTGCCACGTGACATAGAGATGTTGTCCACTTGTGCACCCCAGTCATGTTGGTTTCAAGGAAGCGATACGCCGACACCCGCAGTGGCATGTAGGGGAAAGAGAAAGTGAAGGGAGGTAGGTAGAGACACATGCAGGATGAAGCACAGGACAGGACAGCATAATTTTTTTTTCTGTTTTTTCAGGGGCCTCACGAGTGGAGCACAGGGGTGCAGTGCGGTGCATTGCACTTGAGCAATACTATAACGGTGTTGGTTTGGTTACAGTAATCCGCACTACCAGGGTGTGTGTGATGATTGGCTGCTAGGTGGGTGGGTGCGCAACATTAGAACGAGATGAGGAGGCAAGGGAGGGAGACGAACAGTTGTAACCCCATTAAGTGGACGATTTTTGAGTCGACTAAAAAATCGTCTCATCATGCACGAACTGCTGCGACCCCATTGAGCATATTTTGAAATCCACTAGATATTGCCCGCCACATGCCTACCAGACTACCACCCACATGCCGCCCACCTGCCTCCCACCTGCCGCCCACCTGCCACCCGTCCACATGCTTCCCCCTACCACCCACCTGCCGCCCACATGCCAGCCGCGCCAGCCAGCTGTCCACTTGAACCAACTGTCCTCCACTGTGGCAGGGGATGGGAGAGCAAGCAGTGCCACGGTGGAAGCGAGGAAGCTTATGGAGTGGATGAGAGGAGTAAAGTAGTGCTGTGTTGAACTTCTGAGTCAAGTCAAAAGTCAACTCGGACGCAGTGCCGTGTTGAAGGGGCACCAAAGAGGATCAACAACAGCCAGTGTTTGAAATGGGTGAGCCATACGAAACTTTTTCTGTGTCATATTAGATGCAGGCAGAGAGGAAAGTCATCTGCCCAATTGACATGCAGGGGGGGATAAAATCCTTCCGGAAAAAATGAAGAAGATGAAAAAGCAAACAAACAAATAAGCAAACAAGCAAACAAAAAGTCAGGATAAGGCTCCAGGTGTGAGTATAGCTACATGGGAAATTTTAATTCACACCTGAGAGCACAAGCTCACGTACAGACGTATTTCTCCGTGGCAAGAGGAGGCTCGTCGTCTTAGGAGCCAACCTCAGCTGCATCCTCGCTACCCGCACTTGATTCAGACCCACGACTTTGAGAAGCAGCAGCAGCATTGGCAGCAGCATCACCATCACTATTCCCAGCAGCAACGGAAGCTTCGCCGCTGCTTCCGCTGCCACCACCACTAATACCAGCGTCTCCGCTATCTGCGCTCATTTGACCATTGTCGTCAGTCGAACTCCTTGTCAATCCAATGGCTCGTAGATCCAAGGCAGAAAAAGCCGACTCCGCTATCCGCCTACTGGCCAATACCAGGATCGACAACGCAGTTAATATAACGAGTACCACTATAAACGCTGAACGAAACGACAATCCACTTTTCCTGCTCTTTTCCCTCCCTATTTGTTAGAAAGAGCATTGCCACCCTCCCACTCCGTCTACTTTCGCATCTGCCGAGCCTGCACCGCCGGCTTGGCCATGCAGGTCTTGACGACGGATCGTTGGGAAGAATCGAGAAATCGTGAGTCATTCCCGCGCGGCTGCATGGAAGTTTCAAGCAACTCACGGATTAGACGTCAACATTAGCTCGGTGGAATCAATGGATGGAGTGAGTTGAGGGCTGAACGGGAATCTGTAAAAATGATGTTAGCGAGCAACGGGGTGTTGGGAAGCATAACTCTGCACCTGAGCGAAGGGCAGGCACTAGGCAAGAAGCTAGTTCCGTTGCTGGGAATTGAACCCGGGTCTCTCGAGTGTGCGTAGGACGTGGTGCAACTTGTTTTTTTTTTTTTTGGTTGCGAAACAACCTATTACAATCATTATGTACATTTCTTTTTGTCAGAATGTTATCTTTGTCAGAACATATAGCTTGTGCTTATTGTGTAGGCTATAGTGGGGTAGCCCATAAGGGGTACAACCCAATTAGGGTTAGTTTTTGTACTCAGTTCATTCATAGTTCATGTTAAGAATAATATATACAATTCTATATATTGTTTTTTGTAACTGCCTGTAGTGTAGACTACTGTAGTTATATAATGTTCTGTTTTGGTGGTGCACCTTTCTTCTTGCCTATTTGTACTCCTCGATCTATAGTGAAACCCCTCTTTTGTTCAAACTTTCTCGACCTTTCCTAAACTCACTCGAACTCGATCTCCCTCCAACGTACCATGGCTCCTAAGCCTACCGCTCCTAAGTCTTAATTTCACATGGTATCAGAGCGAGGTCCCTATCCTAGGACCTGATTTTTTTTTTCCCATGGGCCCACCGCTTATCGCTCCTACCATGGCACTCGTCGCGGCCCTAGCTGTGCCCGTTCAGCCGCTCGTCGTGAAGGTCACGAAGTCGAGCATGAGCGTGGCGGGCTTAGTGCTGTTCGTCGCGGCCCCGGTCGAGGGCCCCCTCGCCTGCCCTTCGCGCCCTCCTGCAACCTTGTCACGCCCTGTCGCGGCCCCGAGCGTCTGCATCGACGGTCGCTTTGGGGGGAGACAGCGGGTGTGGCGGCCGAGCTACTTACGTCGCCGAACGCGCCCCCTGCCCCACCCTCCCGTCGAACATACCGCTGCTACCACTGCAGCTGCCACGCAAGCGACGGTGCAGCAGTGTGGGGGGGTGGTTTTGGGGAGGCGGGTGTGAGCAAGAAGCTGCCGCCCCTCCTCTCTCTCTCACTGCCGCACGTGCCGCTGTGGGGGGGGGGGGGAGTGAGGGGGCGACGGAAGTTAGCCGGTCATCTGCTGCTGACGCCCACTGCTGCCGTGGCACCTCCAGCTGCCGCCCCTGCTACCACCTACCTTTCCTTTTGTCCTTGTTTCTGCTACCTACTGCTGGGGCCTGCAGGTGCTGCCGTCGAGCCGCTGCTGTCCTGCTGCATGTTGCAGCCACAGAGCCTGCTCCTCAGGCGCCGTGCCGCCCCAACACATGCTACTTTTGTTTTACCTTGGTAAAGGGGTTGGTACAGCTGGATCTGCCATTACTGCACTGGTTGCCACTGCACTTGCTTGTTGCTATGATTTCCACTGCGGCCTGTCTGGTGTACCCCATTATGGGGGCGTTGACTGCATATTCTTCCCTACAGGCACTTATGGGGGCGTGTCAAGAATAATATATACAATTCTATATATTGTTTTTTGTAACTGCCTGTAGTGTAGACTACTGTAGTTCTATAATGTTCTGTTTTGGTGGTGCACCTTTCTTCTTGCCTATTTGTACTCCTCGCTCTATAGTGAAACCCCTCTTTTGTTCAAACTTTCTCGACCTTTCCTAAACTCACTCGAACTCGATCTCCCTCCAACTTACCATGGCTCCTAAGCCTACCGCTCCTAAGTCTTAATTTCACAGTTCATTCATTCTCGTTTCTTCTCATGGTATTAGAGCAGGTTCCCTAGTGGGAACGCTACCTAGGGCCCACCACGATTTTTTTCCTGCCCGGAGCGCACCTTAGACTAGACCGAGTCGCGCGCGCCCCGTGTGCCCTCCCTACCGTCGCGCCGCCCTATCGGCCCCTCCTTGCGCCACCCGTCGACCCCGCGCGCCGCCTTAGTGGCTCCCTGCGCCGCCCGTCGACCCCGCGCGCCGCCATAGTGGCCCCCTGCGCCACCCGTTGACCCCGCGCGCTGCCCTAGCGCCCCCCCCCCCCCCTACGCCGCCCGTCGACCCCGCGCGCCGCCCTAGTGGTGCCTTACGCCACCCGTCGACCCCGAGCGCCGCCCTTGCGGCCTCGCCGCCCTTACCTGCGGCCCCGCCGCCCTTACTTGCGGCCCCCGTTGCCCTCACCTGCGGTCCCCGCCACCCTTACCTGCGGTCCCCGCCGCCCTCAACTGCGGCCTCGCTGCCCTCAACTGCGGCCTAACCGCCCTCACCTGCGGTCCCCGCCGCCCTCAACTGCGGCCTCGCCGCCCTTACCTGCGGCCTCACCGCCCTTACCTGCGGCCTCGCCGCCCTCACCTACGGTCCCCGCCGCCCTCAACTGCGGCCTCGCCGCCCTTACCTGCGGCCCAGCCGCCTTCCCTACGGCCCCGTCACCTGTTGCAGCGCCGCCCGCCACCTGAGCCACCCGTGCCGCCTCACCTCGCCGAACAGCCGACCGCCGCGCCGCCCTGCAGCAGCACGGCCGAGACGCCCAGCAGCTGAGCAGCCGAGCAGCCGAGCAGCCGAGCCGCCCAGTAACCGAGCAGCCGAGCTGCCCTGCAGCCGAGCCGCCCAGCAGCCGAGCCGCTCTGCAGCCGAGCCGCCCAGCAGCCGAGCCGCCGTGCAGCCGAGCCGCCGAGCCGCCCTACCTCCGAGCCGCCCGAGCAGCCTCGTCCGGTGAGCACAGTGCCTCTTTTCTTGCACTGCCCTCACCCTACTGATGCACTGCTAGTCTACTGTGGTCATGGCTACCCCTAGTGTCCTCACTTTTGACGCTGAGGGTCGAGCCATTGACTTTGACGTCTGGGTAGATGACTTGCAACTGTTTTTATAGTGTGATAGGGCAGACGGTCTCTCACTCTTTGACCTCACCTCTGGCGCCTCTCCTGCCCCTGGTGCTGATGCCGACGCCACTGTTCGCTCCCAGTGGGCTATGCGCGACGCTGCTGCACACCTTGCTGTGCGTCGCCACCTCCCTACCTCCGAGCGTGCGCACTTTAGTCAGTACAAGAGTGCTCAGACCTTGTATGACGCTGTAGTTGCGCGCTACTCCTCCCCTGCCACTGCTGCACTGAGCCGTGTCATGCTACCGTACCTCTTCCCTGACCTTGCTGCCTTTCCCACAGACGCTAACCTCATTACGCACCTCCGCACTAGTGACACTCGCTACCGCGCTGCACTTCCTGCTGACTTCTACGCCAAGAACGCCCCCCCCCCCCATGTACATCACTCTCTACTACATAGTCACTCGCCTCCCTGACTCCCTTCGCGTAGTCAGGGACCACTTCCTCTCAGTCTGTCCCACCACTCTCACTGTTGACCTCCTTGAGAAGTCCCTCCTAGCGCCCGAGAAGAGCATAGTCGCTGTAGGGGCCTCTCGTGGTGACCCGCGCACCCCCATCTTTGAGGGGTGTTCCCCCTCCCCACTTCTGCCCTCTATTGCCTCTACTGCTGCGGCCGACCTCCTTGGTCTTGAGTCGGTCGGTGCGGCGTCTGCCCCTAGCGGGAGACGCCACTCTGGCAAGGGCAAGGGGGGCAGGGGCACTAGAGGGGCGAGCAGGGGCGGTGGAGGTGGAGGTGGAGGCGGCGGGGGGAGTGGGGGTGGCGATGGGAGTGGTGGTGGGGGTGGAGGTGTCGGTGGCGGCTGCGGAGGCGGAGGCGGCGGCGGCGGCGATGGCGGTGGGAGCGGAGGTGGCGGAGGTGGCGGCGGTGGAGGAGGCGGCGGAGGCGGCGGTAGTAGCGGAGGCGGCGGAGGCGGCGGAGGCGGCGGGGGTGGCGGTGGAGCTGGTTGCGGGTCTACGTAGAGGAGTGGCTCCGGTGGTGGTCCGCGCAAGCAGCAGCAGCTCGGTCGTGAGACCCTGTCCCTTCAGCAGCTCCGTGAGTGGTACACTGCACGCCAGCGGGGTGGGGGTTTTGGTCCGTGCACCTACGTTTTGCGCACCGGCGACCGTGCGGGTGAGCAGTGTGGGGGTGCGCACCCCACCCAGCGCTGCTTTGGCCGCCTGACGGACGCGTGGCGTCACCAGTTCCCGGAGGCCACAGAGATCCCTCGCTGGGGCGAGCTGTCTAGGGCGGGTGTTGCCATCTATGATCTTGATTTTGATGCGATTCTTTCTGCCATGTATGCTGTGTCTATTAGTGATGAGGGTGACTGTTACCGGTGCTCCCCGCCCGATCCGGGCATTGAGACTGCTGCTCCAGATATTGGTGAGGCGGCTGCCCTAGGTGCTTGCGACGCTGCTTCTCTAGGTGCTAGTGCGTCTGCGTCCTCAGGTACTGGTGAGTCTGCGCTCTCAGGTACTACGTCGGCTTCGGCCTCCCTCACCTTCACCCATAACTCTGGGGCTTCTCGCTCCTTCATTCGGGACCGCACCACACTCACGCCGCTTAGTCGGCCGGTTGCGGTGTCTCTCGCTGACCCCTCTGGGGGTCCTGTCCTGTCTCACTTCTCCACAGTCCTCCCGTGTCCGCTGGCTCCCTCTGGCACCCTGTCTGGTCTCTACCTCCCCTTGTTCTCTACGAACCGGGTGAGTGGTGCTGACCTACAGGATGGGGGAGTACACCAGTTCACTCCTACGCATCAGCGGGTGACGCACTGCACAGTGGCTAGCACAGGCCGACACCTGGCTACGTTTACCCTTCAACCGGGGTCGAGCCTGTACACACTGACCTCTGCGTCTCCTCCAGTTGTTGAGTCTGGTAGGGTCGCTGCATCGGGTCAGGTGTTTACTGCAGCGTCCAGGTCTGGTACTGAGTCCGCCCCCTGCTCGTGTCGTCTCCTGTCTCACGAGACTCTCCTCTGGCACCACCTCCTTGGTCACCCCTCTCTGCTTCGGCTCAGAGGCATGGCCTCCCGTCTTCTTGTTTCTGGTCTCCCTCGGTCCCTCCCTCCCCTTCCTCAGGGCCCTGGCCCTACCTGTGTCCCCTGTGTTGAGGGGCGCCAGCGGGCTGCCCCTCACTCCTCCCAGTTTCCTCCGACAGAGGCCCCGTTGCAGACGCTTCACATGGACGTGTGGGGCCCAGCCCGCGTCCGTGGACAGGGTCACGAGCGCTACTTCCTGCTCGTTGTTGACGACTACTCGCGTTACACCGCAGTCTTCCCCTTGCGCAGCAAGGGTGATGTCACAAAGGTGTTGATCCATTGGATCCGCGCAGCTTGTCTCCAGCTCAGGTAGAGCTTTGGCTCGGACTTTCCTGTTCTGCGTCTGCACTCGAACAGAGGCAGAGAGTTTTCTGCTGGCCTTCTGAGAGCTTACTGTCGTGCACGAGGAATCCGTCAGACCTTCACGCTTCCGGACTCCCCGCAGCAAAATGGGATTGCTGAGCGCCGCATTGGCATGGTCATGGACGTCGCTCGTACGTCTATGATGCATGCGGCTGCTCCCCATTTTCTGTGGCTGTTTGCGGTGAGGTACGCGGCGCATAAGATCAACCTACACCCCAGGGTCTCCAGGCCGGAGACCTCCCCAGACTTGCTGTGGACGGGGAAGGTTGGCGATGCGTCGGCGTTCCGGGTCTGGGGATCTCGGGCGTTTGTCCGTGACTTGTCTGCGGACAAGCTGTCCCCTCGTGCTGCTCCTTGCGTCTTCCTGGGGTTCCCCCCTGACGCGCATGGGTGGCAGTTCTACCACCCCACCTCTCGCCGTGTTCTATCCTCCCAGGACATCACGTTTGACGAGTCGGTCCCCTACTACCGCCTCTTCCCCTACCGCACTCCGTCCCTCCCCCCGCTGCCGCTTTTCGTTGTACCAGGTCCCCCTCCGGTAGACCCCCTCCTCCCTCAGGGTCCGTCCCCTTCAGGTGTGTCCCAGGTAGACGGAGTCGAGCGTGTCAAGGTCAATAGTGACTCTGGTGCTGCTGAGGGTGCTGAGCTTGGGGGTGCTGACTCTGGGGGTGCTGAGCCTGGGGGTGCTGCGACTGGGGGTGCTGAGCCTGGGGGTGCTGAGCGTGGGGGTGCTGAGCCTCGGTGTGCTGAGACTAGGGGTGCTGGGCCACGCGGTGCTGAGCATGGGGGTGCTGAGCTTGGAGGTGCTCCGCCTGGAGGTTCTCCGGGTGCTTCGTCTCTGCGGGAGCCACTCTCTCCACAGGAGCTGCGAAAGTGGTTTGCCCGGCGCTGAGGCGTGCTGCTGGTGCTGGAGGTTCTTCGGCTACTGAGGGTGCTGCTGTCGCGGGTCGCGGAGGTGCTCGTACTGGGAGTACTGGAGTTGCTGGGCTTGCGGGTTCTACTGGAGCTGGTGCTGCTGAGGGTGTTGGAGCTAAGACTACTGCTGGCGGTCCTGCTGCGCGTACTCCTGGTACTGCTGGAGGTTCTGGCGCTGCTGGAGGTGCAGCTGGAGCGGGTGCTCCTTCTGGGGGTACTAGTGCTGTACCTACTGTGTTTGGCGTCGTCGCGCGGCCTCGATCGTACTTCGTTCCACTCCTGCAGCAGGTTCTTGGTCTTCCGCCTTCTACTGGTCCTCCTCCTTCTTTAGAGTGTCCACAGCCAGTCCCGTCACAGTTACAGTTGCAGCCTACCTCCCCTTTGCCTGCTCCTTCTCCCTACACTGGTCCTACTGGAGGTCTTTTTGAGCGTGGTGAGCCAGCGTCTCGCCCTGCGTCTCGTGTCCGTGCTGCTCGCGCTAGTGGTCGTGGTTCGCGTCTGCGTCCTCCTCTTGTCCCTGGCACGCACAGGATGTCTCTGCGTCTGTCCACTGCTCCTCTGCGTGCCCCTTTACCTTCTCCTCCTGAGTCCTCTCTTCCTGCTTTTGCCGACCCGGAGTCGGACTCTCTTCGTGCTTCCAGTCCTACTGTCACGCGTCTCCTGGCTACTGTCGTCACTGACCCTTCTTTCGAGTCCACTGCTGCGTCTGCCCTAGTTGCTGAGCTCGTCGACTTTGCTGCTCGCTCTCGCCTAGACTACGCTGCTAGTCTTGTCGCGGAGTCTGAGTCTGTCTGTCCTCCGTCCGTCGGGGGTGAGTGTGCCCTTGGCACGGACGTCCTTGAGGACAGGCAGGAGGAGTTCCAGTGCTTGGCCGCTGCTTCACCTCATCTCATGTCCGTACTGCTTACCCCTGAGGGAGACCCGGATGCACTTGACATCCCGACTCCACGCTCTTACGCGGAGGCGATAGAGGGTCCCTACTCTTCTCAGTGGCATGCAGCTATGGATGCAGAGATGGCTTCCTGGAAGTCCACAGGCACCTACGTTGACGCTGTCCCCCCTCCTGGGGCGAACATCGTCAGTGGCATGTGGATCTTCAGGGTGAAGCGGTCGCCGGGTTCTCCGCCTGTCTTCAAGGCGCGTTACGTGGCTCGTGGCTTCAGTCAGCGGCAGGGAGTTGACTACTTTCAGACCTTCTCTCCCACGCCGAAGATGACCACTCTTCGGGTACTACTGCACGTTGCTGCTCACCGTGACTACGAGATGCACTCTCTCGACTTCAGCACAGCTTTCTTGCAGGGCAGCCTGCACGAGGAGATATGGCTGCGCCGCCCACCTGGCTTCACTTGGTCTTTCCTTCCTGGTACCCAGTGGAGTCTCCGGCATCCAGTCTACGGTCTCCGCCAGGCGCCACATGAGTGGCACGACACACTGAGGACTACGCTTGCAGCTCTTGGCTTTGCTCATTCTACTGCCGACCCGTCGCTGTTTCTACGCACCGACACTTCTCTGCCGCCGATCTACATCCTCGTGTACGTCGACGACTTGGTCTTTGCCACAGCTGACACTGCTGGACTCGCCTACGTGAAGTCTGAGCTACAGAAGAGACACACGTGCACAGACCTGGGTGAACTGCGCAACTACCTTGGCTTGCAAATCACCCAGGAGAGAGCACACCGCACCATTACCCTGACTCAGTCACACATGGTGCAGCAGGTCCTTCAGCGCTTCGGCTTCACGTACTTCTTGCCTCAGGCCACTCCTCTGCATACTCGCCACTCGCTCTCAGCTCTGCCTTCGGATGAGTCCGTAGAGTCGAGTGGCCCGTATCCAGAGCTTGTTGGCTGCCTCATGTACCTGATGACCTGCACACGACCTGACCTTGCATACCCTCTTAGCATTCTCGCACGCTATGTTGCTCCTGGGAGACACAGACCAGAGCACATGGCTGCAGCGAAGAGGGTGTTGCGCTACTTGTGCAGTACGTCGGGCATGGGGCTAGTGCTTGGAGGGCGGAGTCCAGTGGTCCTCACTGGGCACGCTGACGCTTCTTGGGCTGACGACGAGGCTACGCAGCGGTCGTCACAGGGTTACACCTTCAGCCTTGGTTCCGGCTCTGTTTCGTGGCGGGCTACTCGCTCGTCTTCTGTTCTCGGCTCCAGTTGTGAGGCTGAGATCTACACCGGGGCCATGGCTGCACAGGAGCTTCGCTGGCTCACCTACCTGCTGACCGGCCTTGGAGAGTCGCCTCGTTCTCCTCCAGTCCTGTACGTAGACAACAAGGCCATGCTGGCCTTGTGTCGAGAGTAGAGACTGGAGCTCAGAACAAAGCACATTGCTCTTCGCTACTTCCTTGCTCGTGAGCTACAGCAGCGTGATCAGTTGCGGCTTGCGTACGTGGCCTCTGAGGCCAACACTGCTGATGTCTTCACCAAGGCACTTGCGCCTTGTGATCATCAGCGCTTCTGCACGCAGTTGGGTCTTGTGCCTGTCTTGCCGCACTTGCTCACCTCTTGACCTTGCTTGTACTGTTGCATATATATACACCTGCTCTTGCTTGTCTAGTCCTTTATATATATGTATTTCTGCATGTGAACTGGCCTTGTAGCCTTGAACTTGTGCTCGGAATGTGTGGTGACTTTGTGATCCACCCTGAGCTTGCTTTGCTTGACTGGTCTTGTGACCCCTTGTTCTCCCCCACTTTGCCTATGGGGGTGTGTCAGAACATATAGCTTGTGCTTATTGTGTAGGTTATAGTGGGGTAGCCCATAAGGGGTACAACCCAATTAGGGTTAGTACTTGTACTCAGTTCATTCATAGTTCATTCATTCTCGTTTCTTCTCAATCTTATGCTCTAGCTTGTAGTGGGGTGCTCTATAGCGAGTAAAACCCTTCTAGGGTTTGCTATTTGTATCCCCTTTCTTGCTAGTGCATCCCTCTTCTCTCTTCTAAACTTTGACATGGTATCAGAGCAAGCAAAGCATGCGGGTTCTCGAGTGGGAATACTGCATAGGGCCCACCACAAACTTTTGTTTTCCTTCCCTGCCCGTAGCGCGCCTAGCTCCTAACCCGAGTAGCGCCTCGAGCCGCATTAGTGGCCCCTTTTGGCCGCCCTTACTGCCCCTCAAGCCACCCTCTACGGCCTCGCTTTGGCCCCGCTACGGCCCCGCATCGGCCCCGCTACGGCCCCGTCGGCCCCGCTTAGGCCCCGCTACGGCCCCGCTACGGCCGCGTCGGCCCCGCTTAGGCCCCGTTACGGCCCCGCTACGGCCCCGCTACGGCCCCGTCGGCCCCGCTACGGCCCCGCTTAGGCCCCGTCGGCCCCGCTACGGCCCCGCTTAGGCCCCGCTACGGCCCCGCTTAGGCCCCGTTGACCCCGCTTAGGCCCCGCTACGGCCCCGCTTACGCCCCGCTACGGACCCGTCGGCCCCCTTTAGGCCCCACTACGGCCCCGTATAGGCCCCGCTGCGGCCCCGCTACGGCCCCACTTCGGCCTCGTCGGTCCCTCTACGCCCCCACTTAGGCCCCACTTCGGCCCCGTCGCCACCGCAGCCTCGCCCACCCTTGCGGCCCGCCGCCACCTGCGACCTTGCCACCACCTGCGACCTCGCCTCCCAGCGCCCGCAACGCCGAGCAGTTGAACCACCGGCCACCTGACCCGCCCGACCTCCCGAGCCGCCCAGCAGCCGAGCCGCCCGACAGCCGAGCCACCCAGCACCGTGCAGCCGAGCCCCCCAGCAGCCAAGCCGCCCAGCAGCCGAGCCGCCCGACAGCCGAGCCGCCTCGCTCCAGCAGCCGAGCCGCCCAGCAGCCGAGCCGCCTAGCACCCGAGCCGCCCTGCAGCCACTTCACCCTGAAAATCCACATGCCACTGACGATGTTCGCCCCAGGCGGGGGAACGTCGTCAAATTAGGTGCCTGTGGACTTCCAGGAAGCCATCTCTGCATCCATAGCTGCCTACCACTGAGAGGAGTAGGGACCCTCTATCGCCTCCGCGTAAGAGCGCGGAGTCGGGATATGTGGTGCATCCGGGTCTCCCTCAGGGGCAAGTAGCATGGACACGAGATGAGGTGAAGCTGCCGCAAGACACCGGAACTCCTCCTGCCTGTCCTCAAAGACGTCCGTGCCAAGAGCACACTCACCCCTGACGGACGGAGGATAGACAGACTCAGACTCAGCAACCAGACTAGCAACGTAGTCTAGACGACAGCGAGCAGCAAAGTCGACAAGCTCAGCAACTAGGGCAAACGCAGTAGTGGACTCAAAGGAAGGGTCAATGACAACAGTAGCAAGGAGACGCGTGACAGTAGGACTGGCAACGCGAAGGGAGTCTGACTCTGGGTCAGCAAGAGCAGGAAGAGAAGACTTGGGAGGAGAAGGCAAAGGGGCACGCAGAGGAGCAGTGGGCGGACGCACAGACATCCGGTGCGTGCCAGGGACAGGGGTAGGACGCTGACGCGAACAACGACCACCAGTGCGAGACGCAGGGCGAGATGCAGGCTCACGACGCTCAACAAGACCTTCAGTAGGACCACTGTAGGGAGAAGGAATAGGCAGAGGAGAGGGAAGCTGGAAATGTGACTCCAACTGGACAGGCGGTGGACACTCTAAGGGAGGAGTCGGAGCAGAGGGCGGAAGACCAAGAACCTGCTGAAGGAGCGGAACGAAGTACGGCCTTGGCCGCTCGGCACCACCAGCACCAGAAGGGACACCACCAACGCCACCAGCACCCCCAGCCCCAGCAGCACCAACTCCAGCACCCTCAGCGGCACCAGCACCAGAAGCACCCTCAGCGCTAGCACCCACAACAGCACGAGCTCCAGCTCTAGCACCGCCAACAGCTGCAGCAGGTCCACCAGCTCCAGCACCAGAAGCACCCGCAGGCCCAACAGCTCCAGTACTCCCAGTACGAGTACCTCCGTAACCCGCGGCACTAGCACCCTCTGCAGCAGCAGAACCTCCAGCGCCCGCAGCACCTCTAGCGCCAGCAGCACGCCTCCAGCGCCGGGCAAACCACTCACGCAGCTCCTATGGAGAGAGTAGCTCCCGCCGGGACGAAGCACCCGAGGAACCACCAGGCCCAGTACCACAAGACGCCACACAAGCAGGCCCAGTACCCTCAGACTCCGCACCCCCAGACGCAGCACCCCAAGGCTCAGCACCCCCAGACGCAGCACCCCCAGGCTCAGCAACCCCAGGCAAAGCACCCCCAAGCTCAGCACCCCCAGTCGCAGCACCCCCAGACTCAGCACCTCCAGGCTCAGCACCCCCAGACCTCGCAACCGCAGGCTCAGCACCCCTAGCAGCACCAGAGTCAACAGCTACCTCGACAGGCTCGACTGCGTCTTCGTGGGACATACCTAAGGGGGGAGGACCCTGAGGGAGGAGGGGGTCTACCGGAGGGGGACCTGGCGTAAGAAAGAGCGGCGGGGGGGGGGGAGGGACGCAGTGCGGTAGGGGAAGAGACGGTAGTAGGGAACCGACTCGTCAAAAGTAACGTCCTGGGAGGACAGAACACGGCGTGAGGTGGGGTGGTAGAACTGCCAGCCTGGCGCGTCAAGGGGGGAAGCCAAGGAAGACGCAAGGAACAGCACGAGGGGACAGCTTGTCCGCAGACAAGTCGCGGACAAACGCCCGAGATCCCCAGACACAGAACGCAGACGCATCGCCAACCTTCCCCGTCCACAGAAAAGTAGGGGAGGTCTCCGCCATGGAGACCCGGGGCTGAAGGTTGATCTGATGCGCCACGTACCGAACCACAAACGACCACAGAAAATGGGGGGCAGCCGCATGGACCATGGACGTACGAGCGACGTCCATGACCATGCCAATGCGGCGCTCAGCAATCCCATTTTGTTGTGGAGAGTCCGGAAGCGTGAAAGTCTGGCGGATGCCTCGTGTTTGACAGAAGGCTCGCAAAAGGTCAGAGGAGAACTCTCCGCCTCTATTGGAGTGCAGACGCAGAATAGGAAAGTCCGAGCTGAAACTCTCTCTGAGCTGGAGACGAGCTGCGCGGATCCAGTCGATCAACACCTCAGCGACCGCACCCTTGCTGCACAAGGGGAAGACTATGGTGTAACGCGAGTAGTCGTCAACCACCAGCAGGAAGTAGCGCTCGTGATCCTGTATCCCGGAGGTCAGCACCACTCACCAAGTTCGTAGAGAACGAGGGAAGGTAAAGACCTGATAGGTTGCCATAAGGAGCCGCCGGACACGGTAGGACATTAGAGAAGTGGGTAAGGACCGGACCCCCACAGGGGCCTGCCAAGGAGACTGCCACTGGCCGACTAAGCGGCGTGAGGGTGGTGCGGTCTCAAAAGAAGGAGCGGGAAGCACCCGAGTCAAGGGTGAAGGTGTAGGTGGCCAGAGCCGACGCGGTACCTGAGAGCGCAGACTCACCAGCACCTGGGGCAGTAGACTCACTGGCACCTAGAGCAGCAGCCTCACCAGCACCTAGAGCAGCAGCCTTAATGCCCGGGTCAAGCGGAAAGCACCGGTAACAGTCACCCTCATCACTAATAGTCACAGCATACATGGCAGCAAGAATAGCATCATAGTGAAGATCAAAGATCGCAACACCCGCCCTAAACAGCTCGCCCCATCGAGGGATCTCAATAGCGTTGGGGAATGGGTGACGCGAAGCGTATGTCAGACGGCCGAAGCAGCGCTGGGTGGAGTGCGGACCCCCACACTGCTCACCCGCGCGGTCGGCGGTACGGAGATCGTAGGTACAGGGGCCAGCACCCCCACCCCGCTGACGAGCAGTGTACCACTCACGAAGCTGCTGGGGGGAAGGGGTCTCACGAGTGCGCTGTTGCTGCTGCTGCTGCTGGCACTGACCACCACCGGAGCCGACCCTCTGCGTAGAGCCGCCCCGACCAGCTCCACCTCCGCCGCCGCTACCTCCACGACCGCCTCCACCTCCGCCACCTCCGCCCGCACTGCCACCATCGCCTCCTTCTCCGCCTCCACTGCCGCCACTAGTGCCCCCACCCCCGCCACCACTCCCACCACCACCGCCACCCCCTCCGCCATCTCCACCGCCGCCTCCACCGCCCCCGCCAGCTCCTCCAGCGCCCTTGCCCCCCTTGCCCTTGCCTGAGCGGCGTCTCCCGCTAGGGGCAAACGCCGCGCCGACCGACTCAAGACCAATGAGGTCGGCCACAGCACCAGAGGCAACAGAGGGCAATGTGAAGATAGTAGCCAGAGTTAGGAGCCATAGCTAGGTAAGCCCTAGCTAAACAAGAGAAGTTTAGGCAAAAGAGAGAGGATTTTACTAGCAGCAATGAGGATACATATTGCAAACCCTA